ATCAAAAACAAACATTCAAGGTTTGGTTTATACATGTGGAAACCTGGATCCCCTGAATTCTGGAAATCTGGATCTAGAGGTGTATCAGAACTTTGTGGCTTGGTTCTATTTGGTAAAGGGCGTGACACATAATCCCAGATCTGAAGTGCCCCAAACCTTGCAAATGCTCTAGTCAAATCTGGATCCAGATTTCATGGCCCAGGCCTTCTATATTTTTATTTTCTCTAGCACCTACACAGTGCTCAACTCATATTTTAGTTTAACCTACATTTTGTTAGGAAAGTTGATGCTTCACTTAATCAGACTTGTAACTGTTTCTTCTTCTTTCTTTCTTTCTTGGTTAGCAAAGAAGATTATTCCCTTGAATTAAAATCCTTCATTTCCATAAGTACCACACACATATCCTTGATGTAATGTGCTGTTCTTCGTTTGCCTATAATCAAATCTCCATAAAACTAAAAATAAAATCCTGTGATAAGCAGTTCTGCCAACTGCATCTTACAGATTAAAAACCAAAGAGCAAATAATTCTTGCATTGCTATTTATTAAAAGGGAAAAGATTGCTGCGTGTAGAAGAATCTGCTGGTGCACATGTGTACATACTGTAAGAGCACTAATAGCTTTTCTGAGATGTAAGGTAATGCACCACATGTATCTGATAGAAAAATTTGACCCATAAACCTAATTTGCTCACTATAAACTATGGACAAAGTCCGTATTTTTCTCAAAGATATTTTTCTCATTTTTATGGGAACAATTCTTTAAATAAGTTTATTAAATCGTACCTTCTTTAGGCATAGAAATGATACCATACATATGAAAAGTGTATTATTCACCATTCAAAGAGAAAGTTAGATAAAACGGCTAGGCTCAGCTCACTGCCTTTGAATGGAGACTGGGCAGCTAATAGGGAGCTAGCTGCAGCTCTGGGTTTCTGTTATAGTGGGGTACCCGGTGCTGCGGCTACTTACCTGTTGGGCTGCTTCAGAACCAGAGCTCCAGAGAAGCCTGAGAAACCAGAGAGCGAATTTCATTTTGGAAACACCAAAAGGTTTCCATTTCAGTGTTTCTAGAATGAAATATTGTAGAATTTTTTACACACACACACACACACACACACACGGTTTTGGCTTTTTCTTATGATTTGGGAAGAAAAACTTTCCAAAACCTCAAAATTTTTCACAGAAGTAAAATTCAGCCATCTCTAGTTTCTATTTAAGGCTTTTTCTACACCTAACACTTAGGTTGACCGAACCACATTGCTCAGGGCTGTGAAAAATTTCATGCCTTGTGCAATCTAGTTAGATTGCCCGAATCCCCACTAGAGATGCAGCTAGGTCGACAGAAGGATTCTTCCTCAATCCCCATAAATGCCTAAATTTCCCCCCAGTGGGCATGCACAAACCACCTCAGTCCTGGCCCTGCCAAGGAGCTCGGTGCCCTTGTGCTTGTCTAACCCCTGAGCTACTGGCTATAATGTGGCTGGGGTCTTTCTCTTTTTTCATGAGAAAGAGCTGACCTGACTTAGGCTAGGGTTACCATACGTCCATATTTTTTCGGACATGTCCGGCTTTTTAGTTCTCAAATCGCCATCCGGGACGATTTTTTAAATATCTAAAAACGTCCGGGAAAATAGGGACGTATGGTAACCCTACAGGGGAGCTGCCGGAGCTGCAGAGCGGGGCTTGCAGGTGCCAGCGGCGCGCAGAGAGCCCTCCGCCCCCTCCAACCTGACCCGACCCAACCCTAAGAGGGACCTGCCAGGGGGGCGAGGTGGGGAGTCCCGGCGGTGCTTCCCTGGGGCGGCTCCTGGGAAGCATCCGGCAGGTCCCTCTGGCTCCTAGGGTTGGGTCGGGTCAGGTCGGGGCGGGGGGCGGAGGGCTCCGGAAGCTCCCATTGGCGCTTTTCCGGGCTAATAGGAGCCCCAGAGCTTGTGCTTGTGGTGGGCACAGCACGTGGAGAACCCTCGGCTACCACTGATCCTAGGAGCCGAGGGACCTGCAGCAGGAGGGGGGTGTGAAGAGGCGAGTGGCTAGGGAGCCAGTGGCTGGCGGGTGGGCAGGTGAGGAGGCAAGTGGTGGGCGGGGAGGGTGAGCGGTGAGGGAGCCAGCAGCAGGAAGGAGGGTGAGGAGGCGGGTGGCGAGCCAGTGGCAGGCGGGAGCTGTGTGTAAAGGCCAGCGGCGGGCAGTGCGGGTTGAAGAGGCGAGTGGCGAAGGAGCCAGTGGTGGGTGGGCGGGGGTGAGGAGCCAAGCGGCGAGCCATTGGCAGGCGGGGTTCTCGGGGTGTGCATAGGGGTTTCTAGCAGGGGAGTGAGGAGGTGAGTGGCAGGTGGGAGGAGGCGAGCGGTGGGTGGGAGACTGAGGAGGGACACAGCAAGCCAGCGGCGGGTCAGGGGGTGAGGAGGGGTGTCATGGTGGGGCCGAGTGGGGAGGGGGTGGGACCTGGGGCAGAGTGGGGGCGGAGCAGGGGTGGACTGTGAGTGGGGCCGACAGCACCCCAATGTGGAGTGTCCTCTTTTTTGAATGTTCAAATATGGTAACCCTAACTTAGGCACCTAACTCCAGGACAGGGTTCATATCTGAGACTCCCAGGTGAAGATAGATACCTACATCCAGCCTGCCGTTCAGGGGCCTAATGCCCAGATCAACAGGAGTTAGGTAACTAACTAACCCACCACTTTTGTGGAGCTGGGCCCTAAATCCCACCCCGTTCCGCTCCATTTCACTCCTGGTTACCTTAGGTGGCTTCCCACTCACCATGCTGGCTTCTAATGATCCCTTTCTTTGGTATCTGGCTTGGCCACCTAACTCAGGGCTGTGAATTCCACCAAGCAGCAGCATGCCTAGGCATCTAATCCAAAGTCACATAGGAAAGAAAGGAATTGAAGTAGGTCTCCTGAGTCCCATGCTAGGACTCAAACCACTAGCTTATCCTTCCTGCCACAGAGAGTAACTTTAACTTATGCAACTGGTGTTAGCTCCTTTAGGGACATTACAGCACTAGGGAAGAGGCTGTATTGGAACCTTGCTTCACAATGGGGGCTGCCCTCCTTTCTCCTCCTCAGACATGTCCCTGTACTAATTCCCTTATGTTTGGCAGTGCAGCTCCGGCATAGGAGGTGGCAAAGCAGAGCCATCTTTGCCAGCCCTACCCCAGCATGCATGTAGAATTCTCCATCTAGTTTAAATTCGCTGTTTATGCATTGCTTTGCTTAAACAGCACAAAGTGAACTTGGCAGACTTGAGAAACCGGCCCATACTTTTGAGTTCTAACGTAAAAATCTCTCTGCATGTGTATGTACGTACGTGTATATCTGTTAAAGCGCTGCTTAATGGAAGATGGCAAAGCTGCTGAAGACCTGGATGTACTGTAATTGACAGCTGTTACTTTCATGCCAACATACACAAGTTTATCATGCTAACTTACGTAGATATTTACTTTCCCATTGAATAAAAACTGAGTAGCAATCATAATAATGGCCACTTCAGACAGAGGAACGGAGAGATTGAGCTATTCCTTTTAGAATAGAACACACGTCATCGGGAAAACATTAATGTCCCAACGAAAATATTAATTTAACTGACAATAGCTTTCCAGACTTCAAAGCCATACATTACAAGTTGTTAGAGAATTTCAGGGCAACAGTTATTTCAACAGCTTTGCATTATGCAGACATGCAAAAAATCCTCATTCCCCAGACTACGAATGGAAGGCCCCTTTATAATTATTCTTTTGTGTATTGTAGGCATGGAGAGAGTGAAGGAGATAGAGGAAAAATGATCGATGCTCTTATTAAACCCCTTCTTCCTGTCCACTTTTTCTCTACCTAAAACTGACCCCATGAGTGCTCACTCCTGTGTAGTCTGGCTGATTCACAGGCTGTGTCTATTGTGAGGAGAAATGCTTCATCCATGCTGCTCCACATGTCTGCTAATGAGATTTGCAGTAAACTGAGCAGCTCATTATTCCACCTTTGCATTCAGCAAGAGGGACTTGGGCTGGATACAGTGAAATTTAGGTCAGGCAGACAAGACACAAAGATCAGCGACCCTCAGCAGCAACCACCACCAGTAGGAGACGAGCTAAAAGATTCGGCAGAGGTTGGAGCAAAAAGTACACCCAACTGCACACACAAATGACATCTGCAGACGGATCAGTAGTAGAACCAGCAGCAGATAAACTGACCTGCTACATGATCCCACAGTGCCCCCAAACCTTTACTAATTCTTGTGACCTATGAACTGTAGGCAAACAGTTACTAGAGTAATGATGATCCCTAAAAAGTATTGTTATGAGCTGGGTGAAACCTTGTTGTGTGCTGAGTTAAAAAACAACCCAGTGAGGTGGAGGAGCATGAACACACCCTTCAGTTGGCATAACAGTAAGGTCAAGTTAATCACAAACCCCCACCTAAAACAAAAGGGTTATGTGAACCTGCACAGGAGTTTTAGACTGGGGCTTTGTCTATACTACAGTGGAAATTCAATTTAAGCTACGCAATTTGAGTTACGTGAATAACATAACTCAAATCAATGTAGCTTAGATCTACTTACCGCGGGGTCCACATTATGCGATGTTGACGGGAGACGCTCTCCCATCAACACCCCTTACTCTTCTTGATCTGGTGGAGCACAGGAGTCGACAGGAGAGCGATCTGCAGTCGCTTTAGCAGGTCTTCACTAGACCCACTAAATCAACCACCAATGTATCGATTGCCGCTCGTTGATCCCCCAGTAATTGTAGACAAATCCTGGGTGGGTAGAGGATCTTTTGCTGAGTATTGTTGTGGGTAAAATGTGTGTGTTTGGGGGAAGGGAGAAGAGAACAGAAAAAGAAAGACAGAGGCAAAATGCAAGAAAGCCAAGTAGCAGCCTGTTAGCTCAGTGTCTGGCCCTGGAAAAAGCTAGAGAGAGAGAGATTCTTTGGGTCTGGTGTTGGCTAACAAGGCATGGGGCTGTAAGCTAAGCAACTATTTCTTTTTGTTTCTGGTTTCTCCTAGGTTTGGAGACACAAAACCTTGTACATTCCCTATAAAAAAGCAAGATTGCATCAAAGAAAAAACTAGACTCCATCATCAGTTTCTACCTCCAAATGGAATATCCCCAAGGCCCTGAACTTCAACTAGTCATTTAAGTTGAAAAGGGGCAACAATCTAATTACAAAATTAGTCAGGAGCAACCGAGTTAGACATACTTCTAGGCCTGGTCATCCCCTTTAAATAATTGTTGAATTAAGTAAACAAAGAAATGTGTAAACTGCTGCATGAATGCAATGGAACCCAGACGAATGCAGCAAACCGCCCTCACCAGATCAAAGCTACATCTAAATATAGCAATGGGGGAACCACATAAAGTTCAGTTTGATAAGTATCCAAAGCGTATGGAGGAACACATCAAGCTCCAAAGTCTTTGCGCTCCCCCTTCCATCAACAAGCTCCTATACCCTTATCTGATGTGGGGATGGTAAAGACTACTTCCATGTGCCCACCCTCCTTCTGTGACTCTGGCATTGGTGATAAGCCTGCCCACCTTTTTAGTGTCTTCTTTCTCCTAATCCAAGAGACAGGTAGCTCTTTGCCTTTCATCACATCCCCCAGGAGGATCAGCACAGAGCCACTCACTCACAAGGATTTGGGGTAGATGTTGATCACTTAAGTCTTGGCAGATGGTTGCTAGGGAAACCCCATGCCTTTGGAATGTGACAGACACCAGACAAAAACCTGCTTTGGTTTGATTTTTTTTTTCCAGCAGCGGGGGTGGGGGGCTTATCAGTCTGCCTGACTCAGAGAAAGCACATAAAATGCAGCAGTTCCTCTGAGACAACAAATCAAAAATGGTTTCTAATGAGCCTCCTGAATACACGGGATAACTTCAACCAGTCAAGTAGCAGAGGAAATACTATTCGACTTCAACTATTTGATTCCCACCAGGTAAGAAATCCCAACTCAAAATTCAAGATGCTAGTTACTACTTTTTGGTTAACGATAAAAAGCATTATTCACAATGCCATTTTGTCATATAAGCATTACAAGAGATGATGACAAATATATACGGCAAGGGAATATAACAGATTTGAGACAGTATAGGGCTCACACATATCTGAGGTTCATGACACTACTGCACAACCAGTCGTGCACTGGGGGAGACAAACTGTGGCTGGAGTCAGCCCCTGAGAGCCAAGAGACCTCCTCTCCTCCCCCAGAAGGAGGTGGGAGCAGAAGCAGCCAGTGTTAGTGGAATTTCTGGAATTTTGACCAACCTTTCTTTTCCCCTTTATGTTTTGCTTCTGGATATTTTTTCCTCCTTGCTGCCTAATTGCTTTTGCCAACGTTCTGCCCCTCCTGCCCTCACAGCCTCTTTGCTGCAGCTACATGCTCTCTCCCCTCCATCCTCTTCTGTCTGTTTCTAATACACTCCCTTCATATTTTCCTTCCTTTCCCACTCCCATGCTCCTGTTAACGCCCACATCCTCCCTCTTCCCCTTGTTCACATCATGTCTCACTATAAATGTTATTAAAGGAACTGACATGATGTCTGCTACCCATTATTCTGAGTATATGTTGCATCCTCCCCCCACCATGCTTTGTCTTGGCTATTTAAACTTCAAGCTCTTTGCGACAAAGACTGTCTTTTATTAGGTCTTTACACAATTCATAGCACAATGGAGCTCCAGTCCTGATTTGGGACCCTGACTTGCTCCTGCAATACAAATACCTAAGAATAATAAGCATAGGTTAAGCGATATACACATTGTTTTCATAAAAGTTATATGAATTTTTTTTAATGAATTGGCCCAGCTTTTCTCAGACAGTTCAATTGTTAATCTAACATTCTGCTATGCTAATGGCGATGCTGCCTCAGCATTTTCCCAGAGATCCAGGCAGTTCCAGAAATTCAGTGTTCAACTGATGAATGTTTTTTTCAGTGTGATACATTTTGTAGGAAATCTACATTTCCATAAGCCCCATAAACTGAAAGCCAGGCAAATTTGAAGGTTTTTATTTTCTTTCAGATTCAATAGCTATCCCAAGTCTAATGATTGTAAACTTCTTTTAGATCTATGCCAGTTTATTTTTAATCTCCTCTTGTTTTAGAACTTAATCTTTTAACAGAAAAGGGTAGACCATTACAATCTGAGAGACAATGAGAGGTGTAGGTCAAGGGAAAATAGCACTGTAAAAACTTGTCGACATAAACTTACACTGAAGTACCTTTGATTTCACACATTTTATTATTGTTGTGGAAGTCTGTATGTCAGCGCTATTTTGGAACAAAAGTGTCCAATTTTGGTTTTGTTTAAGTCACTAAAAAATCAGTGTAAGCTAAATACAATAGTTATTTTGAGCTTGTAAAGTACTGCTGGTCAGATACTGCAGTCCTTTTGCATGCAAAAATCCCATAGATTGCAATGGAAGTCAGGCATACATAAAAATTGTGAGATCAACTGAGATGTCTGTCTTTTTATTTTAATGGGCGCTGCTTGTAACCAGCATGCTGAGATGTTACTGACTAGTACTATTGTATTCTAAAAAGAATCTGAGTAAATATTAGTTCATCGCCAGATGATCAGCTCGTCTATGTGCAAACTTGTTTCCCCATCTTTTTGTGCTCATATAACTCCGCCACATGCCAATCTGAATCGTCTTAAATCTTGAATTTTATTTGACTCCCATTTGCTAACATGTTCCCAATTCAACATAAAATGTCTACTCCAAAGTCAAATAGTGTCATAGCAGTGTTTTATTTTAGCAAATAAACATGCCCATTACTGGCCAGCTTCCAGCTGCTATTATGAACTATTTAATACTGAATTATGGAATAGTATTTAATAGCAGCTCAAAAGGTATTCAGAACATGGGTGCATAAAAAGAAAAATCACCTTTACATTTATAGCTGATCAATAAACTCCTAAAACCAACATTGCAACTGGAAATGCTACAATACATTCAATAATAGCAATCAAAATGGAAATCTATAGCAATATACAGAATAATATATAGTATTTCCAACTACAATATAATTCCATCAAAGGGATAACAGAGCCTCCTTGATGTAAATTATAGCCTAATAGGTACAGTAAAGTGCATTTTATGGTTGATAAATATAAAACTTGGTGGGATGTTGGTAGTTGTCATACATGTTTTTCTTTCAGTACAGAGAAGGGATTATAATAACCTTACTTTATTTTTTTTTCCTGAAGGAAGCCAAATTTTAAGGGAAAGTCCAAGCCAGTTGTCTCTTTTTAATTAAAAAGCAACAACAATGACAAAAACCCTCTTCCCGCAGAAAATCTGAAAATGTGAAAGCTACCAAAAAATAATTTTCTATTTGTTGTTTCTGGCTATAACATGTGGAGGGGGCAGTTATTGTTCAATGCTGACATCAGTACTGAATATTAATAAGATTGCAAACTGCAGGCAGAATTAGGCTTCCTTGTTGCATAATGAGGTTCATTATAAATGCCATGCATAATTCCAATCATGTTCTATGTCGATCCAGCCTTTTGTTGTCAAGACAGCCTATTATTATGTACTGACCTCACCTCACTGAGCTCAAATAAAATTTTTAAACCAAACATTTTCTAAAGTTGTTTCTTTTTTTCCTACACTGATTCAGGTTACACCTTAAAACATAAATATTCTGACATAAGACGTGTTTCCTCACAAAGCCAGAAAACCCATTGTGTGATAAAGCATATTCTTTCCTAAGTGAAGAAAACAATTCTCAGGAGATAAGCCCACAAGATGATTTCATGACTGTTCTTTCTGTCTTGTAGAAGAGGAAACAACAAAATAAATAAATAAAGGCAAGCGTGGGTTTCCAGTATGCCCATCCTGGATGGGGATGGCAATTAGCATAAAGTTTCACCACAGTATATTTCTTAAACATGCCCATCAAGGTTACTCGGGCATCCTAATTCACAGAAAAATGGCAAAATCAGAAGGCTTGACTTTTACAACTGCTTTATGTTTTATTGAAGAGGAAAAAAATGGAGTTAAACAAAAATGTTTTTACAAATGGATGTGAAACCAGCTCACTGGTTTCAGTCCAGTTCCTTTTGGACAGTTTTTCCCCCCAGCGGAATTAGCAATAATTGATGTCTTTGGGGGCAGCGTCAGCCAAGGGTGAATGGCTTTGGAGAGTGACTTACCTTTTGACCCCTAGTGGTAGTCCTTGAGCATAAGTGTGAAGACACATTGGTGGTGCATTCTGGGAACACTTTCACTCAGCTGTTTTGTGCCTCTTCGTGCTTATTTAATTAATTAACAAAAACATGAATGCACTGTTTAGCCTAATTGGTGATTTTACATCAGTTAAGACCACAATTTGAAAGCAATAACATTCTGTCAATTGAAAGCTAGTCCTCAAAATAATTTAAAACCAATACATACAATTCCCCCTACAGAAAGCAAAGACAACACCCAATTTTATTCATTTATACATAGCTATAACCAACATCCAGCCTTCTCTAATTAAAGACCTGCATAAAGAGATTCATGCCCTGATGGTCAATAACCTTGGCTTTTGGTCAACCAATAACGGAACCGTGACCCAGAATTACGAACCCTCCACCACGAATGTCCTGCCACTAGGCCTCAGATGTTCAGATCTAGGAACTCTTAGCTAGAGTTCCTTAGCTGACCTTAACTGTCAGGAAAGAACACAGGAAGACAGGTAGTTTTGTAGCTATCCACAATACAGACTATTTTGGACTTCATAACCCCAGTCAGTTTGAATTACACTTGAAAATGAGCAGGCAGCCAGTGCAGCATGCAGAGCAGAAGGGGAAAATGCCCAGCGCTGTGCAGACCACTAAGGAAGCAGACCATTGTGTTTTGCAGCTGATGAAGCTTCCAGGTGGTTTTCAAGAATTATCTTGTGTAAATCACATCACAATGCACCTTGCACTAAAGTGGCAAATGTGACAGATTATACATGTCCCTTCCAATTTAGCCTTTCTTGTTCTCTTTACCTTTCCCTCTTCATTCTACCAGTAATGGCATCCTTGGTGCCATGTCTGTCTACTTGTCCTGGAAGTGTCTGTCTATTTGCCTTGTCTTTTTAGAGTGTGAGCACCTCAGGGTAGGGACTATGCTTTCTCTTGTACAGCACTTAAAATGTTGTGGGCACTACTGTCAATAAATAATAACGAAGGCCTGGAGAAGTATGCTGAAGGCTGCATCACAGAGAAAGGAATGCCACAGATGGAATTTGGGGGTGGAATTTTCCTACAGTCTTTGTCACTATAGTTACTTCAAAAAAGCAAAGAATCTTAAAAGGACTTCTAGATTCAGAATTTCCTTTTCCACTCTTAATAGAAGAAACAGATGGGATCTCTGCCAGTTCCAGTAGAGGCTTCCCCCTACATATTTGCACCACTTCTGGCTAATGATCTGTCTACAGTGATCTAAAGCCAACTTTTCCTTATGAGAACCTCTATCTCAGTGCAGCACCAGGAAACTAGAGATTGTGCTATTCAGATTGGATAAAAGAGGGACATAAAACTGAATGTTATCAGAATACTGATTACACTGCAAACCATATCTCTGTCCCTTAGCAACTTCTAATATAAATGAACAGACCATTTTACAGAATATTCCTGGGGGAATTCTGCACCACTGAGCAATGCAGATTTTTTCAGAAATTAACATTGTGTGTGCAGAATTTCCTTTCCCACACAGAAATGGGCTGCAGTGCTGCTAGCTGCCACTGGGGGCCAGTGGACTAGGCAGAGCCCAGCTTGCACATAGAAGATGCTGCTGGTGGGAGGAGAGGGAGCTAGAGCAGGGGTGGGCAAACTTTTTAGCCTGAGGGCCACATCTGGGTATGGAAATTGTATGGTGGGCCATGAATACTCACAAAACTGGGGTGTGGGGTGTGGGAAGGGCTGAGGGCTCCAGCTGGGGGTGAGGGCTCTGGGTTGGGGCTGAGGATGAGGGTCTGGGGGTGCAGGAGAGTGTTTCGGGCTGGGACCGAGGGGTTTGGAGGGTGGGAGGGGGATCAGCGTTGGGGCAGGGGGCTGGGATGCAGGAGAGGGGCAGGAGTGCAGGGTCCAGGCAGCCTTACTTCAAGCAGCTCCCAGAAGTAGTGGCATGTCCCCCTCTGGCTCCTACACAGAGCCGTAGCCAGGCGGCTCTGTGTGCTTTCCTGTCTGCAAGCACCACCCCTGCATCTCCCGCTGGTCGTGGTTCTTGGCCAATGGGAGCTGCGGGGGCAGCGTGCAGAACCCCTTGGCTGCCCCTACGTGTAGGAGCCGGAGGGGTTACATGCCACTGTTCCCAGGAGCTGTGCGGAGCGGGGCAAATCCCCAACCCCAGGCAGGAGCTCGAGGGCCAAATTAAAACGTCTGGAGGCCCAGATGTGGCCCTCGGGCCGTAGTTTGCCCACCCCTGTAACTGATTCCTGGCAGCTTCAGTTCCCAGCACTGCTGGGCTTGGGGCGGGAGCGGGGAGGAAGTGTGCAGTTATGTGGGCTGGGGGAGACCGTGGTTGGGCTCTGGGGAGGAGGGAGTTCAGCTTTATTGGCTCTGGGGGCCCACAAGTATGGGGAGGGGTTGTGGATGTCTGGTCCCTTGCTGGGCTCATGGGGGGGGTGGAGGGAAGGGGGCAGAGAAACAGGAACTGGGTTGTAATAGGGATTTCTTTAACTCTCTACTCCTGGGGAAATTTTTGTGTTGTTACAAACATACTTGCTGACAGGTATTTTGAAATAAATTACCAAAATAATTGAAACTGGCGTGATTACATAGTGTTATAGTGACAAATAAAATTTGCAGAATTTTACAGAATTTTAAAATATTGTGCACAGAATTTTTAATATTTTGTTGCAGAAGTCCCCCAGCAGTAACAGAATAATACTCTTCAGATTTTCACATAAGAGAAACATCACAGAGGATGAACTTAACATCAATCTCTGGGATATTTTCTATCAGAGGGAACAAGGCTACTAGACCAACCATCCCCTCCAGCCAGTGTTTGTAGGTGAGTTAACAATTTCAGTGCTATCAAAGCCTATTTATAGACAGAATAGAGGCAGATTCTTGTCCATTGTCAGGAGCAGGAGGTCAGCCAAAGAAACCAATGCAATCTCCAAAACACACCTTTAAAAGACTGATAGGGAGCTAGGACATAAGAAGATTCCAGAAGAGTGATCAGAGGCGGTTACCCACTTAGGGAATATTTGAGATTGCCAATATTGTGTGACAGCTCATTTGTGCCTCTTTCTAGGAGGCATTGACAGTAGCCATCAATAATGTATCTTGAGTAGTATTTTCAAAGGCATCTAAGGAAGTTAGGCACCCAACTGCATTGATTTTCTGTCAGAGATGGGCACCTTACTCCGTTAATTGTTTTGAAAATTCCACTCCCAATCCTCCTCTACTTACATACATCCATTGGCTTTCATCCATCAGAAGGGATGGTCCTTATACTTCTTGCATCTCTCTACCTCCCCAGCCCCTCTCCTCTAGAAATGCTATAGGCAAAAATGGCCAAATTATTTGCACTATGAGCAACTGCCACTTAAGGAGAGTTATTCTAATTGGATGATATTCTAGCCTAGACAAGTAAAAGGGGTCATATGACAATAGTTTCTTCACATAATAATGGAGACAAACAATAATTTATTTCTATTGAGTTAAAAGTAAAAAAAAAGTGGGGGAAAAAAAGCCCAGAACCACACCCTATAAGTTTAAAACCACAGCTTGGGGAAGTTATGGATACAGAGAAGGGTTTGATAAGACTGACACGAAAAGTTAACTAGGAAAATGAAAATAACCTGACTTTAGTCAGTGAATGCCTAACTGCCATAATGCAAATTAATCAGCCCCTCTGTAAAGTGACTTTCTGGTACTCTGACTAAAACAGGTATTGCTATATAGGCCACTAAAATAGGTATTGCTGTTTGCAAAAAGAGAGGGTCTCTGTTGTGTGCATTAGTATGGAAACTGAAGCTCTGAAGGTAACAGCTAAGAAAGAAGAACATTGTTATTCCTTGTTTTGCTAATGGTCTTGATTAAATGTTATGAGTTTCTGAACTATCAAGGGAGAGAGGAGGAGACTTCAAGAAGGAATAGTGCCTGAGGAAATTAGGCTTAGTATCCAAGGGTATAAAGGAAAGTCTTTCGTTCTTGGCTGACCACCAAGGCATCTGTTATATCCTTATTTTACAAAAAGAAAAGGAGTACTTGTGGCACCTTAGCGACTAACAAATTTATTTGAGCATAAGCTTTCGTGAGCTACAGCTCACTTCATCGGAATGCATCTGATGTGGCTCTTCAGAAGTTAATATGCGCCTCCTTGTATAGGCACCAACTCTGGGGCTGGAGCTACAGGCTCCAATTTCCAGTGGGCCCAGGGGTGCTCACTGCTCAAGCCCTGGCTCTGCCACAGGCCCTTCCCCCACTCCATCCCTTCCCACCCCCTCCCCTGAGCCTGCTGTGCCCTCGCTCCTCCCCCCCTCCTCACCCGCAGCCTCCTGCACGCCACAAAACAGCTGATCGGGAGGTGCGGGGATGGAGCAGGAGGCCCTGATCGGCAGGGCTGCTGGTGGGTGAGAGGTGCTGGGAGCCGGGTTGGGGAGCTAATGGGGGGCTGCTGATGTATTACTGTGGCTCTTTGGATACGTACATTGGTAAATTCTGTCTCCTTCTCAGGCTCAGCTTGGCCACCCCTGCTCTAGTCCTTGGGACTGTGAAGAAAGCCTTCAGAATGTGAATTGGATAGAACTCAATGCTTCTCCCTTCATATTTTTGTTCTAAATGCTAATCATGCTTTGGCCATGTGGTTCAGAGTATTGCATAAGTGGGTTGTCCCTCATTGTCCAGCTGCTGTTCAAACAGAAGAAAGCTTACGTAAGCTCAATACATGGTACAGTATTAGTTGTAGACCTGATTGGAAAATGGACTTTCTGTCCTGCAGAAAATTTGACATTTTGAATTGATTTTTGTTCACAGTCAGAACAAAATGTCTACATTTCTAAATTCCTTGAGGAATGGACATTCTGAAACATCAAAATGCTTTGTTTTGATCATGTCAAATCATTTCACTTCAATACTATCATATATTTTTGTGTTTATAATGTCAAAACATAAAATAATACATATTAAATATAGTATATAATCATATTAAAGTAATATATAATATAAAGTCTATGTGAGGGGTTCCCCCCCACTGGGTGCCACCTGAAACTGGGGTACCACTGAGCTTGCCTGACTGAGCAGCCTGGACTCTCTTTACACCACTGGTGAAGCAAGTCTGCCAAGCCCTTTCCCAGGCTTCAGGCTGCACATTACCAGCTCACTTACAGGTAGGAACACTCCCAGCTGCAGCTATACACACAAATGCTGAGATCAGCTCTGTGTGGAAAGGCTCAGCTAAGGAACTGCCCAGTTACTCAAGTGCACACCGCCTTTTGGAGGGTAAACCCAAATATATTCTGCATGCTTTTTACAATAATTGACTCAGGTATCTATTAGCTAAATTAATAGTATCAATTTGCAAATGAATTCCAATTCAGAGTTTTCGTGGGGGGGGTTTGGGTTTTTTTGTGGGGGGGGGGGGGGGGGGGGGGGGGGGGGGGGGGGGGGCCTATTAGAAAGTAGAAATTTTATTACACCTAATATTTGTGCCTATTTATAAAAATCTGTATTTTTTCCATTCTCATCTTTAACTACAGTACTCAATAGCAGAGAAGCTTTAAGTTTTTTAAGTGTACCTATTTATAGTATAAACAATAAAGTTCCAGGCAGTTTCTGTTGATCCCATTAATTTTATACACCGAACCAAATTGTTAAATTTTCCCTGGCTGCATTTTTTAAATTAAAATAAACTCATAAGCTATATCCCTGGAGTAACTTTTCTCCCCAAATCCAGTTCTGATGCTTTACACAAACTTTTTGTTTGTTTGTTTGTTTTTGTTTGTTCTCAATCAGCATCCATCCATCCCCAATCTTATTCTATGCAACAAACTGTTACAGTGCTATAAATGCTCTATTCTCCGATTAGGATATGAGTAAATATCAGCGCTTTCCACAGGGACAGCTTACATTAATAACTGAGGACCTGATTCTCATTTACACTGAGGCCCCTTTACATCACTCTGGCAATCTAAGGGGATCTTACGATTACAGTACAGTTATACTCACTTTAAGGCTCTTTTATATTCCCAGACAGGTATAAAGGGGCCTTGAGATAACTGAGAAGCTGACCCTTTTTCACTACACAAAGGGCCCAATTTTGCAAGGCGATGAACTCCCTTCACTTCAATGGGAGTTGAGAGCACTTGGCATCTTGTGGATTGGAGCCTTAATTTCGGTTTAAATATTGTCAGGGATTTAAAATACCATCTATGACTATACAGCCAGGGTACTTAAAAGTGCCCCCTGTGCTATGGTGGTGGTGGGGGACAAGAGGCTCTGTAAGATGAATTACATTGAATGCCACTGAGTTCCTGGGAAATAATGCATGTGTTATACATTTTTACACACACACACACTCTTTTTCTGCAGGACAAGTGGAATTTTAAGGCTACAGGCCTGCCCTTTCCCTAATAGAAAAGGAGTACTTGTGGCACCTTAGAGACTAACCAATTTATTTGAGCATGAGCTTTCGTGAGCTACAGCTCACTTCATCAGATGTATACCGTGGAAACTGCAGCAGACTTTATATACACACAGAGAATATGAAACAATACCTCCTCCCACCCCACTGTCCTGCTGGTAATAGCTTATCTAAAGTGATCAACAGGTGGGCCATTTCCAGCACAAATCCAGGTTTTCTCACCCTCCACCCCCCCCACACAAATTCACTCTCCTGCTGGTGCTAGCCCATCCAAAGTGACAACTCTTTACATAATCAAGTCGGGAAATAGCCCGACTTGATTACGTAAAGAGTTGTCACTTTGGATGGGCTAGCACCAGCAGGAGAGTGAATTTGTGTGGGGGGGTGGAGGGTGAGAAAACCTGGATTTGTGCTGGAAATGGCCCACCTGTTGATCACTTTAGATAAGCTATTACCAGCAGGACAGTGGGGTGGGAGGAGGTATTGTTTCATATTCTCTGTGTGTATATAAAGTCTGCTGCAGTTTCCACGGTATACATCTGATGAAGTGAGCTGTAGCTCACGAAAGCTCATGCTCAAATAAATTGGTTAGTCTCTAAGGTGCCACAAGTACTCCTTTTCTTTTTGCGAATACAGACTAACACGGCTGTTCCTCTGAAACCTTTCCCTAATGGCTCTCTAAAATACCGACACACTCCTGAACCAGCCTTAATTGCTGCTTGATGATAATAGTGGCCTTATAATAGTTTCCATGGAAAGAATTCCGAGATCATAAATAGTGAGTTTGTTAGCTACCAAATACACACATTCCAAAAGTACATGACATTTAATTCTAATCTATTTTTAGAAATTGGAGGGAAATGAAGACCAGATTAACTTTTTCCATTATAAGCAGTCTCTGACATTGTATTTCCAAGTACAATTACAGAGGAGTAGGGCTACTTGACTGTTCTTCGAAATAATTTTTATTATATGCTTTAAGATCTTCTCCTGAGCATGGTGTTTTAAAGGCAGCATTTATGATCGACTCAGGCTATGTCTACACTACAGATCTTGCAGCGCTGCTGTACGATCTAGCGTGTAGCTGCTCTATGCTGACAGGAGAAAGCCGTCCTATCAGCATAATAAAACCACCCCCAACGAACAGCACGTCCCACCAACATAGCACTGTCCACACTGGCGCTTCTGTCAGTGTAATTTATGTTGGTTAGGGTTGTGTTTTTTTCACGCCCCCTGAGTGACATAAGTTTTACCAACAAAAGTGGTAGTGTAGACATAGCCTGAGTGTCTCGAAAGTCTGAGTGCCATGTATACATAGATCAGTGAGGAAGCATGATACAGTTGTTAGGGCACTAGCCTGGGGCTCAGGAGAGTTCGGTTCAGTTCTCTACTTTCCTACAGACACTGTGTGTTCTTGGGCA